GAATCGCATATTCCAAGGAATTTCAAATACACTCCTGACTTTAAGAACATAAATAGGACTATTTCAGATATGTTCTGAATGTATCAGATAGTAACAGGAGACAGCTCCAAGAGAGCAAATTTAACTTTCCTGTGATGTCTTGGGTACGTCTCCTTTTGTGAATATGAATTGACTTATCTTTTCATAACATAAACCAGGATTTTCATGTCATAGCATATTACTGCAATTTTTATGGGTTTTTTTTTTTTGGTCAGTCATGGGGGTTGAACTCAGGGCCTGGGTGCTGTTCTTGAACTCTTGCTCAAAGCTAGTGCTCTAGCACTTTGAGCCACAGTGCTACTCCTTCTGTGAAGTTATAATGTTGAAATTACTTCAAGGCTTAAAATTTTATTCCACAAACAATATTCTAAGAGCCAACTGAAGAAAAACAAGGCAGTCTCTCAGATTACAGGATCATTGGAACAAATGAGCTATGAGGATAACAAAGTATATTCAATGGCATGCTAATAAGCTAGCTCTGTGATTTCAGAGTGATATAAAAAACTCAAATTTTAAAACTCCCCTGGCTTGTACATGTTGCTATCCACAATGAAAATACTCTCATTAGGGGCTAAGTTAGGCTTATAACTGGCTCATATTCAAATTCTAAAACTTAACCATTGCTCTCACTAGTTTGCAGAATTCTGTACTGACCCACCACCCCAGTCCTTACCCACCCCCAGAAACAAATCTGCCCTTATAATATTCATTTTAAAAACAGGGGTGAAAAGCCGGGCACTGGTAGCTCACGCCTGTAATCCTAGCTACTCAGGAGGCTGAGATCTGAGGATCGCAGTTCAAAGCGGGCAGGAGAGACCATGAGACTCCTATCTCCAATAAACCACCAGAAAACCGGAAGTGGCGCTGTAGCTCAAGTGGTAGGGTGCTCGCCTTGAGCTGAAGAGCTGAGGGACAGCACCCAGGCGGAGTTTAAGCCCCACGACCGACCAAAAAAAAAACAAGGGTGAAGCCCCATGATTGTGTTTTTACAGGGTTTTCTATAGAACTGGCTGCTTAGCTTTTTTGGGGGGTCAGTTGTAGGGCTTGAACTCTGGGCTTGGGCACTGTCCCTGTGCTCTTCAGCTCAGGGCGAGCGCTCTATCACTTAAGCCACAGCGCCACTTCTGGTTTTCTAGTGGTTTATTGGAGGTAAGAGTCTCATGTACTTTCCTGCCCAGGTTGGCTTTGAACCATGATCCTCAGATCTCAGCCTCCTGAGTAGCTAGGATTACAGGTGTGAGCCACCGGCGCCCAGGTGCCTTAGCATTTTTAAGTGTACTAATTTCACAATGTTCACATTGTGTAGTCATCAACTCCATCAATCTCCAGGACTTGTCATCCTGCAAAACTGAAGATATACTCACTTGTAAGTCTTCGATTCCCCCTCTCCCCTCCCCCCCCCCCACTCCTTGTAACCATGGCTACACTACTGGCTTTTTCTAGGATTCTGACCATTCTAAATACCTCTTGTAAGTGGACTTGTACCGTATGTCTTTTTATGATTGGCTTTTATCAATTACCATGACATTTGCAGGGTTGTCAAAACTTCCTTCCTTTTTTGAGTACTAATCCACCGTGTGCACATACTACATTTTCTGTATCATTCATCCATCAGTGGACACCACAGTTGCTCCTACATCTTTGCTATTGTAAATAATGCCACTAAATATGTCTGTTCAGATTTTCTATTTCTTCATGGTTTAGTCTTGGTAAACTTTGTGGTTTTAGAAATTTATCAGTCCTCCCACCTCAGTTATGCAATGTCTAGGCATGCAACAGCTTGTATTGCTCTTCTAATCCTTTTTATTTCTACGGAATTAACAGTAACTTCCCCACTTCGGTTCTTGATTTTAGTAATGGGAGTCTTTATTTTACCTTAGTTCATCTAGCTAGGCTTATCAATTATGTTGATGTTTTCAAAGAACTTCTTTCAGCCTGTATTATTTTTCTATTATCAAGTATTTCTTTCTGCTCAAGTATTTATCATTTTGTTCCTTGTTAGCTTTGGGTTTGTTTATTTTCTAGTTCCTTACATTGTAAGTTAGATTGCTGATTTGACAAAATTCTTTTCTTTATGATCTGAGCATTTATAAATCCTACCTTAAGAATGCCTCTGTGTGATTCAGGTGGACCTGTTGCAACAATGAGAAGTACAAAATGTCATGTCAAAACCAGCTTTACAATGTCGGTGTGGGGGGGGAGGGAGGGGGGGTATGATTGGGTGGGGGGGGGAGGGGGGAGGCTGGGAAGGGATGTGAAGGGTAAACAAAGGAGGAGGCTGCAATGCTTGGTAAGAAATGTATGCATTATCCTGCCCATGTAATTGTAACCCCTCTGTACAGTATGTTCTCAAATAAAATAAAATAAAATTTAAAAAAAAGAAAAAAAAAAAAGAATGCCTCTGTGTGCCATAAATTTTCATTCATCTCTTAGCATTTTCTAATTTCCCATATGAGTTCCTCTCTGGTCCACTAGATGTTAAAAGAATAGGCTTAATTTCCAAAATTTTTAAAGATTTTCCAGTTTTCCTTCTAGTACTGATTTCTACCTTTATTCCAGTGCAATCAGGAAAGATCCCTTGTATATCATCTATCTTGTAATATTTACCGAGACTTAATTTGTGGCCTAACATATGATGTAAGCTGGAAAATGTACTATTTTTACTTGAAGAGAAAGTATATCCTGATGCTGTTAGTCTGTATGTGCCTGTGAGGCTTACTGTTGTTCAAGTTCTTTAGTTCCTTGGTGTTTATTCATGATTGAGAATGGAGTATAGTCTTCTCCAACTACTGCTTAGAATTATCTCTTCTTCAATTATTTTTTTTTTGCTTTGTATGGTTTTCACCATCTTTTATTAATAAGAGTTCATAATTTATGTCTTCTTGTAATCAAGTTTTATTAATACATAACCTTTCTTCTTTAATAGACACAGTCCTACTGCTTAGTTTCTACCTTTCCAGAATTCTCTTCCTACTTACCGAGCATTTTACTTCTTAATGAATGGTGATTACAATGGCGGGGGATTACAAGGGCCCTCTGGCAGAAGTGAGTAAATTTGCTTCAGATATGGGATTTGCCAATTAAATTAATACAGTCATGTAGGAGTGATTTTAGGTAAGGAAATGGTTAGCCCAGTGTACAGTGCCTTTCTGAAACCCAATCTTATTATGTCTCCCTCCCAAAACAAACACAGCAAAAAACATCTCCACATCTTAAAGAAGAAAAACTCTAAATTATTAAGAATGATACATGATGCTCTTTGTAATACAGTCCTCTCCTGACTACCTTTGTCTCCTTTCTCTCTTACTATAAACTTTTATTCTCTTGCCGCATTCAAATACTGGCCTGTTCCTGAACTAAGAATCCTACTCTCTGGGTGTCTATGCTTGTTTACCTGACCCTTCCTCTGTCAGGAGTATCCAACCAGCCTGTTTTCATTTCTAGCTTCAGCCACTCATTTTTCCATTTCTGCCTCAATTCTCTAGATCTCTATGAGAAATCTTTTCCAATACGAATTATAGGTTTTTTTAGTGCTAGTCCTGGGAATTGAACTGAGGACCTAGGTACTGTTATTGAGTGTTTTAGCTTAAAGCTAGCACTCTACCACTTAAGGCATAGCTCCACTTCTGGCTTTTATGGTGGTTAACTGGAGATAAGAGTCTCACAGACTTTCTTGCCTGAGGTGTATTTGAACTGTGATCCTCAGATCTCAGCCTCCTGGGTAGGCAAGATTACAGGCATGAGCCACTGGCACCTAGCTGAGTTAGTGCTTTTTATTCAAATTAGTTACATATTTCCTCAGCAATTAGCAGGGTATCTCACGTATATGTTAGTAAGTGTGCTAGCTTCAGTAGAAAGCAGACATTTAAAACCTAGGGAATAATAAAATACCCTTACTTCTGAAATCCAGAGAAATGAGTTCTGGAAAACATGATTTTCTTATTGGGAATATTTTTGATATGGGGAATATATGAATTCCCAATAAATCTTCTGATTGGTAATTTTAAGATACAATCTATTACAACTCAAAAGCATCTAAAGTTTAAATTGCATTTTCGATTTTATTTGTAAGATACCCTTGTCTTTGTCTATAAATTCTATTCCCCTCTAGACTCACCCAATCAGTGGCCCTATCTCTTTTTATCCATTCCTAGAAACTGCTTCAGTTCTTTTAAACTAAAGAGAACAGTTTCTTCAACTTCACTTACTCCCATGCTGTTTTTAGAAAGAAGTAAACAAGGAAAAGAAGAATCTGATAACTTTTCAAACTTCTCCAGCAAATAGTAAGTATAATCTCTTCCATCTTCAAGATTCCTAATGCCCTTAAGAGGATTTCCTAATGTGCTTTGGAAAACGTTAACTGTAACAAATCATTTTTTAATGAAACAGGGTCAAAGAGAAATTATGTTATAATAGTTTGCATTCCACTGTAGTTCATGTCATTCCACGTTAATGGAAGCCTAATCACATTTCTTAATAAGAACTTTAAACCTTACATCACAGTGATAAGCATAAAATTAGGGTCAGAGATTTTTCTTTTTTGAAGAACAAATATAGATAAGCCTAGACATGTAAAAACAACAACAACAACAACAAAAGACCTTTTAAAATACCTAATCATGAAGAAGTAATTTTTGTCCTAATCCTGTTCTTAGTTAGGCACACCATTTATCAGGAAGTTTAACCCTTCATGAAAAGGCACATGAAAGCCAAGTGTGGAAATGCTTTTGAGTGGCTGAGATAGGGGGATCATGAGTTTGAGGCCAGTTGAGACAGTAGACCTGTCTCAAAAACACAAAAGAATGAAAGTAAGGACACAGAGCCCTTAATTTACAGATTAGAGATTACTTCTTGAATCACTGAAGTCTTGCCCAACGTCCACTCTCTTATGAGCAAATGTGTCAGACACCCTTCCAGTGCTTGCCGGACAGTCTGTGGGACAGGAGTCAAAGAGCAGATACCTTGGTCAGAGTATGTTTGCTCTAAGGCGTGGAGATCAGGCAATAGGTGAATACAGTTTATGCAGCAGTAGGTGAAGAAATCAAGGACGACCACTTTTCCACATAGGTCTCTGTAGACAGAAATGGGCTCTTCTGTATTCAGCCACTCTAAACCTGAAATGTACACAAAATAATTACAATACTTAAAGAAAACAACAAAGATATGATCATATAAAACTTTTCATTGATGTGAGTCTCTTTTTTCTAAGACCAAGACAAATGGTTAAAACACCTTAAAAGATAACACAATCTAAAGTCTATGGCAGTTCTACCAATAAATCTGAGACGTAGAGGACAGGAGATATTTTCATGACTGCAATAAAATGTGTATTTGTGACTTAAGGAAGAGACCAAGAAGGATGGAAGGGAGTAGGAACAGGTTGGGGGAATAAGAGGTTGAGGATGGAAAAGCTGCTATTACAAAGATGTCTGCAAATGTGGGAGACAAGAAAAGTTACTAAATTCTTTCAGAAATAGTGTATCCATCTCTATGTGAGGGAGGTAAAATCACAGTTAAAATAAGGGAAAATATCAAATATTAAAATGATCTAAGTGCATATCTAATTAGGTATGAATGGGGCACTGACAATAAAGGTCAAGCTTAAAAATAGCTGAGAAGTGACTAAACATCAAAAAAGGAGCAAAATATATGTACAGATCAGCATGCAAAACGTATCAGACAGGCTCAGAAGAGGCTGAAATGTTCTGGAGCTAGATGAGATCCTAAATATAAAACAAAGCATTTTAAATAAGAACTTAGAAGCAGCATTAATATTGACAGTCACACTCCTTTCCCTTCAAAGAAAAACAGAATCTCATTAATCTGTACTTTTCTAAATTAGAATTTATAATTACTTGACTATGATTCAAAATTTTAACACTGAAGATTTTGTTAAATTAATATCAAAAGTACAAGAAATCTAATCAATTTGATAAATCAAAGATAGTAAGTTTGTTGCTTATAAGTAAATAATTATAGCTATTAGTAATTATATAGTGATGCAGATATTTGGAAATACTTTATAATGACAGAAAGCCACAGTTGAGCAGAAAGAGTAAATATACAGCCCCTATCTGGAGTAGATACATTCTAAGACCCTCAGCAATGCCTAAAACTGCCACCAGAGCTGAACTGTCTGCCTTAAACCCTTCTCCGTATGATGTAATCGCTTGCCATGCACTGTGGCCCTATGTGACTTGAGGGATAGCAAAACTTGAGGGACTTGAATTTTTTTCTTCTTCACAATCTGAAGGATCCCAGATCCCAGGAACCTCAGCATATGATTTTTTTTTTCTCTTTACAGCGTGGGGATCTTCCACTTTTTCACTTAAAGGAAGTACTGTGGCTCCTCTTTGTCAGTATCACTGCTCTTGAGCTTTTTAGGGCCATCATGAAGTATCCTGAGGGTTCGTTGAAGCCAGTGGTAGGACTAGGCTGGGCCTGAAATCCCAGCAACTACTGGGTGACTAACACGGGTAGCACAGGAAGCATAGGTATGCTGGGAGGGGTGATTCATATCACTGGACAAAGGGATGACTCATTTCTAGGGCAGGACACAGTGGGAACTACAGAATTCCATCATATTCCTAGAATAGTGCTGAACTAGAAATTGTTTCTTTCTAGAATTTTCCACCTAATATTTTCAGACTAGTAGGCCAGATTGAAACCACACATAAGTGAGGACTAATGTATTAACAACCAATAACAGAAACTGGAGTTACTAAAACAGAATTCTTGGAGAACAACAACAACAACAATAAAAAACCCTTCAACAGAGTTAGCATTTTACCAAATGATCCCAACTGGCAACTTCAGGATACAGTGAATTCTTAATCATCTATTTTGATAAGTGTTAATTATATGCCACATCAAATGATGATACAGAAGTACAAACAACAACTTCTAATTAATGTATATTTCACATCTTAATTGCAAGGTACTGTATATATGAGTCTGTCTTCTATGACTTTTCTCTAAACTAACAAGGGCAACTTAGGGTGAGGGGCTGGGAAAAGAGTTATGTTACTTGCTAAAAATCACAGGGATAATGAAAGAAGTAACAAGAATTTAATCTCAGGTCTGCCTGAATCTATCCAGTATAAAGCATGGCCTCCCACAAACTTACTTATTCTTTAAAAAAAAAAAAGTGTGTGTGTGTGTGTGTGATATTTTCTTGGTTTATCAATAAACTATAATCAAGAAGTCATAAACCTAACTTTATCTCAATTACTGTATGTTTTGTTCACTTTTTGCACTCTGTCCCTAATAATCAGGTCTAGCACAACATCAGACATGTCAAACACAAGAATCAGAGAGATCAAAAGTCATGGTAATAAAATATGACCCATTCATTGTAAATACAAACAAGACTGGAAAATAAGAACACTCCCTCAAATTCTAACTGGTAGCCAGGTTGTCCCTAACAAGAGACATATAATTACAAGCTTTTTACAAAGCATGTGTACGATTACACTGATATTCATAACGTTTTGAAGTTTGTTGGATGGGATAAGCGTTCATGTCTCTAATTCTTTTCTAAGAATTGATTCATAATGGAAAAAAAGAAACCCTTCTCAAGGTGAGTACAAAAGGCCTAGAAAGACACCCAAGCCTCTGTTGTCAGGTTCTGATACACCTCGCATGAGATAACCCAACCCCACCACAACCAACCCATTAAGAATACATGGGTTTCAGTGTCATGCCAGGACAAATGCCAACAGCACCAGCAGGCTAAACAATGCCACTCCCAACCAAACAAGGGAAAGAACGGTTTCATTTCAAACTGCACTGCTGGGAGTATCTATTCCCTCGTGTTCCAAAGGCTCACACAGCACCGAATTCAAACCCTTATAACAAGCTATATAATAGATTCTAACTTGAAGGGGTAGGGGGTGGGGGAAAATCACAGAAGTTTCACAACTCTGAATTGTAGAAATCCAGGAAGGCCTATGGGAGCAGCAAACCCGGGGTCTGTAGCCTGCAATTCAACTTTGACAGTTATTTAGCTGAAAGGGGGGGGGGGAACCCCCCCCCACACAACCCGGTGCCTCGGTTTCCCTAACTGTAATGCAAGACTAACACCACCTCACTGGCTTGTAGGGAGAGCTCAGCAGTGTTTGGAATTGTAGAATTGTAGATGGCAGGTAAAAACCGATGGGCAGGAAGCGCGGAGGCGATGAGGACGACCCAGGGATGGACAGGGGGACGGGGGTGGGGGGTGGGGGAGGGCGCTAGGCCGTGTCATGTCAATCATCTGGGTCAGGCCCGGGCGGGACCCGCCCCGCAGAAACCCACCTCTGGGGGCGGAGCCCGCGGGGGACCCCGGGGGGCAGCAGCGCTGGGGTCGGCGCGGGCCCCCCCCCACACACCCGAGGAAGAGGGGGCCCGGGAGCAGCCCCCACCCCGCCGACGCCGACCCCTCACCTTCCGGGAACTCGGGCACCGCCAGGTCCTGCTCCCAGCCGTCCACCTTCTGCAGATACTGGTAGACCAGGTCGCCCTTCTCCTGCTGGGTGACGGCGTCCAGCAGGGCGTACTCCAGCGGGGTCTGCGCGGGCAGCAGGCCCGACAGGCCGGGGCCGCGCGCGCCCGGGGCCGCCATGGCTTCCGGGGCCTGGCGGACGGGCCTGGCGCTCCCGGCCCTTCCGCTGCCGCGCGGCGCCCGCACCGCACCCCGCCGCCGAGGCGCTCCCGTCGCCTTCCCGAGGCGTGCGTTCGAAAGCCAAGGCCCACACGACGGCAATTCGCGGGCACGTAATTAAACGCGCGTCCAGCGCACCCCGCCCCTCCCGGGCCGCGCGCGCCGCCGCCGCCGCGCCCGCCGCCGCCGCCGGGCGTCTGGATGTTCGCGTCGCCAGATTCGACAGGGACACGGCCGTGGGGGCCACGCGGAGGGACCCGTCCCGACCCCTTCCGCTCTGGAAACAGGAGCGTTCAAGAGCAAAAGTAGGAACAATAAACAGCAGGACTTACAAGGACACAGTGGACATCTAAAACACATCTTAGGAGCCCGTGATTATAGCGGCAACGGCCGATTCGACACGGCCCGCGGCCGCAGGCGCGTCCCGCCGAGACCGGCCAGGTACCGGCGAGTTGGGGTCGGGCGCGAACGAAGAGGGCTTTAAAGGTTGGGAATGGCTGGCCAGGGGCTTCGGTTTGTTCACAGATAGGGTGCTGGGTGCCCCCGACGGCGCCGAAAGTGCGGGCGGGAGCCGCAGCCGGCCGGGCGGGAGCCGGGCGCGCGGAGCCCGCCGGGGGGTGCCGCCGCCGCCGCGGGGGTGCCGCCGGGGCTTCGCAGGGCGGGCCTGCGGGTCCCCGCGGGGCCTTTGACGCTGACTGTGCGCAGTCCCGGAGGCGCGCAGCCCCCCACCGCCTCCCCACCAACTCAAATCCGGAGAGGGAGGCTTTGGGCCCGTGGTCTCCCCTGGGAGGCTGAGGAGAGAAGGCTGACCACCATCCTCGGGACACCTGGTCCCCGAGGGCCGGAGGACAAGGGTTGACCCCCCCAACACAAGTGCAACTTCACATGTTTGAACTTCGTTCCCCCGTGCAGAGTTTGTGCCTACTGTTGGAGGAAGATTCTGGACTGATCTGGAAACTGAAGTTGTGAAATATCCGAGAGTCTCGCGGATAAGCCAGAATTTAGGGTTTTTTTCTGAATCACAATTTTGATGATGGTGCTCCTAATTTTACAAGTACGCTGAGGTTGAGTGTTTGGAACACTGAGCCAGTTACCCAGGGACTGTGAAGAGGTTTGTGAATGATTCAGACAAATGTCCCCTGGACACTAACAGCTGCCCAGAGCTTCCTTTAAAGATAGTTGTTGGCTCCGCCCCACTCATTAGTATTTAATTATTAAAGTATTTTTACTTGCTTTATGAAAACATATCTTGGAAAAGGCTAGATGACTTAATGAAACAGAACAATGGAAAACCTTACAGATACTACTTTTGTGGGAAGGTCTCTTAATTTTATTGTCTTATAAATGGAACCGCAGATGTTGTCCAATATAAGGGTTATAGTTTGCCTATATGTCCATAACCAATGTTTTAGCTTGCCTACCAGTTAGTAGGGGTTTTTTGTTGTTAATTTGGGGTGTTGTTGTTTTTTCCCCAGCAAAATAATTCTGTTAAAAAAAAAAGTTAGCCTGGCATCCGTGGCTCATGCCTTTAATACTAGCTACTCAGGAGGCTTAGATCTGAAGAGGGTGGTCTGAAGCCAACCCAGTCAGGAATGTCTATGAGACTCTTATCTCCAATTAACCACCGAAAAACTGGAAGAGGGAGCTGTAGCTCAAGTGGTAGAATGCTAGATTTAAGCAAAATTATCTAAGGGACAGTGCTCCGCCTCTGAGTTCAAGCCCCAGAACCATCCTCACATACACACACATAAACAATTGTAAAAAAAAAAAAAAAAAGAAGAAGAAGCAGAAGAAATGATCAGTGCTTTGTGAGTGCTAAAATCATTTTACCATGTTAGAAGACACATTTTTAGAAGAAGATATCTGGGAATATAAATCAAAAAGAAAACCAAAATCAATACATCTAGATAAGTGCTCAGAAAAGACTCCAAAGTCGATTGAAAAAGTGACAGATGGAAAATACCAGTCAAAACGCAAAGGAAACAAAAAAAGAACCACAGAGGATAAAGAGAAAACAAAGGACCATGACATAGGTCTTGGGGAAACAGATTGTCAGACTTCCATAGCTTCTAGTCAAAATTCAAGTTGGAGAGATGGTATCGAACAGTCCCAAGACAAACAGAGTACTCCACACAGGCACTGTAAGACTCACAAAAACAAACAAATGTCCCCAAAGATACGTCCAGTTTATGATGGATACTGTCCAAGCTGCCAGATGCCCTTCTCCTCATTGCTGGGACAGACACCTCAATGGCATGTTTATGAGTGTTTGAATTCTCCACCAGTTTCTGACATAGGTAAGATTATAGAAACGGTAAGTTTCTAAATAGTCTGAAAAGCCAGCATTAGCTCAACCATCTCAATTCACTGTAACTCAGGGTAAGCAATAAGCTAAAGTGAGACATTATTCCAGTCAGTGGTATGCTTGGAAAGAAAGTTGTAAACCTGAAAGTACTTTTGATACATTTTATTTTTTTCATAAATGTTTCTAAATATCCCAATTTTTAAAAAAATTCATGTTCATTGAGCCTTTTTTTACATAGCTTCACAATTGCCATATAGAGTAGGTGTTCTTAAAAAGTTTAATAATTTGCTCAGTTTGTGATCTTTTTCTGGAACCATGTAGAAAAGTATAAATCATTTTGGTTTCTAAATACGGTTGTGTTCTGTTCAACATGTTAGTCTACAGGAAGGAGTCTTAGGTGATTTAAGATTCTCATTATAAAAATGCCAAATTACAGAAGTCATGCTGTGCTTTTATTATCTTTCAAAATAAATGTCATACTTAACATGGAGAAAATTCTTCGTCTATATGGAGACTGAATTATAATGAGTGTACTTGAAGTCTCAGAAGGTTTTTTTGTTGTTGTTTTGAGAGAATAGCCAGGTGCTGGGTGGCTCTGCCTGTAACCCTCCGCTGAGATCTAAGGATTTTAGTTTGAAGTCAGCCTAGGCAGAAAAGTCTATGATTCTTACCTCCAGTTAACCAGCAGAAAGCCAAAAGTGGAGGTGTTGCTCAAAATGTAGAGCAGCAGCTTTAAGGGATAAAGCCATGTAAGAGCTCCACACCCTGATTTCAAGCCCCAGTACCTACCAGATGTGTGTGTGTGTGTGTGTGTGTGTGTGTGTGTGTGTGTGTGTGTGTGTGTGTGTGTGTGTGTGTGTGTGTGTGTGTGTGTGTGTGTGTGTGTGTGTGTGCGCGCGCGCGCAAGCACGCATTTGAAAGCATTTTGCTTTAAGGTAAGAATTAGTAACTTGTAAAAACATTTTGTATTAGGTGTTGATTTTTTTCCCCGTCTGGCAGTATGGAGGTTTTGAACTCAGGACTTGCACTTTCGTAAGCAAAAGCACACTATTGCTAACCCTATACCTCCAGCTTTGATTTTTGCTCATTATCTGAGATAGGGTCTTGCTTCCAGCCTAATTTCAGTCTGGAGATCTATCTGTGTCAGACCTCCAGGTAGTTAGAATAATAGGTGCATATTATTGCATCTAGCTCATTATTGCAAAAGTATCTTTTCTAACTGGGCTGGCCTGGAACTGTGACCCAACAATTTCAGCCTGGTGAGAAACCAGGATTACAGGTGTGGGCCACAGGGCACCCAGGCAAGTGTTGGTATTTTAATACCGATGTTTTGATTGTGCAGTTAACAATGGCTAGTGTTAAAAGTCCTCCAAGGAATATTCATAGTTTTCCACTTGCAGGCTAATTTAAGATGATCTTGTAATACTTTTTTTTCTCCCTTCATTGAAATTTCCAGAGTGTCCTGATGGTTTTCTGTGTACTTCAACATTTCCTTCTCATTATAAGAAATACACTCACCTTCTGCTTGCTCAAAAGAGGGATAGCAAGGAGCCTTTCATCAGTGTGTCACCTGTACCAGGTGGGACTATCTGTGAGACTAAGCCTGGCTTCACTTGTAACCTTGAAGAAAGATGGTCTCAGCACCCAACGCAAACTGAGAGCTTAAAAAACGTTTCCAGTGATCCTTTATTGAAATCCCAGTATCTAAAAAAGTCGCAGTTTCTAACTGAAAATAATGAAAAAATTTCTACATCTGAAAATTCTAAACCACCACCACAGGTTGCACAATTTACAGAATTTGTTAAGAAAGACAAACTGGTAGGCGTTGCTTTGCCTCTGAGTACTGTGGAAGAAGTGGACAGCCAAAGCAATGCACGATGCACAAGCTTGCCACTGCCAGAAAATGATTCTGACAGCTGTGAGATCTCCTATTCTCCACTTCAGAGTGATGAAGAAACTTATAATGTAGATGAAAAGCTGGATGATTCACAACAGGAGCTATTTTCTACTAGAAGCTCTAAAGATGGCAGCCTTGAGGATGACAACAGCTCTGCTGAGTTGGAAAGTCTCCCTGGTTCCTTCCCAAAGGGCTCAGAAGATAGCTGCTCCCAAATGAGTCGCTTCTTAACTCAAGATGACTATAATGAAGAATTGTATAACTGCAGTATTTTCAATGCTTCGTCTCAACTTACCTCCCAGTCTGAGAGCAGTAGTCTATACAATGAGTCCACATGTCCTGATGATTATTCTTTGTTGTTTGCACCTGCATTAAGGGGACAGCTTCCTCCTTTTAACTACCAAACAGCCAACAAGTACGCTAATGAGCCACAGTTTCACACATCTCAACCAGATAAACAGAAGCTAGTAGTTGAAGAATCAGCTGTTTACAATCAAGTTTCTCTGCCTTTCAGAAGCCAGGGAGGCCATCTAACCCAAAGGCAAGTGAGAGAATTGTCAAGTAAGAATAGTGCCAACTCAACATTTGTCTGCAGAAAGGCATTAAAGGGTGTGCTAGATGGTAGTAAAGTGACAGTTTTAAATACAGAAAAATATCCTAGTACACCTGCTAAGTCTTCTATGCAAACATCACCCTCTAGTCGTAAGTGCCACGCAAGCCAGCCTTCTACCAAGGTAATGAAGCAAATGGATATAGGTGTGTACTT